CCTTGGCGTACCAAGAGCGGGCTTCTTTGATATCCACCGGCACATAGATACCGACCTCATAGAAGTAACCCAGAGCGAATTCGGCTGTTGGAAGACCACTCTGGGCCGCGCGTTGGGCATATGTAAATGCCAGCTCGTCGTTCTTCTCAAAGATTCCCTCATGTCCACACAGGAACCATTTGCTGATCGCCATCTCGGCTTCAGGCTCGCCCTGGCGGGCAGCCAGTGCATTATAGTGCAGAGACAGCGCGGGGTTGAAATCGCAACTCAGTTGACAGAGTTCATATGCCGCACCCATCTTAACCTGAGCCTTGGCGAACCCGTGATATGCCGCCTTTTCGATATTGACACGTGCAAGGTTCAGATCAAGGGGTAGGAAGCTTTCCGGGACGCTCACTTGAGGGAGCTCTCGAGCCAAGAGCATGCCGTATACCTTTTCTCCATTAGAATAATTTTCCACGGTAAATGTCATATAGAACTCACGTATGCACCTTGAGGTGCGTTCTGGTCGCATGACTGCGCTGCCAGGCGGATGTATTCCAATCCAGTGTTGAAATCCTGGTGTTGTCCATGTTGGCCCAAAAGAATCATCATTCCGAGGCGCTGCAAGTATGTTAGTGTCTCCACTGTCCTGCATGATCTATCTGATAACCTACATAGTACGAGGCAGAATCCGCCCGCGCAACACCCCGCTGGTAATGTTTAATCGCCTTCTCCGGCTCCCCCGAGCTCTCAAACTGCATTCCGATCCGGTATTCGGCACGCGCATATCCCTTCTCAGCGGCTCGGGAGTATGATCGGAATGCCTCCTTGCGATCAACAGGGCAGCCAAATTTGCCAAACTCGAGCCACATGCCCTTGATGAATTCCGCCTTGGGGTGGCGCTGCTCGGCGAGAAAGCCGACGATGTTCATCGCGTCGACTCGTAGCTGGCGCTCTACCTGCGGGGTCTGCGGACGTGGCGGTTGGGTCAAACAGAGGCGGGCATCGTTCTGCGCGGCGACCTCAACAAAGGCGAGGGCATCCAAGGCCCATGCGAGTTGCATCTCCGGGTCTGTAGTCGATAACACGGCCATTCGCGCGCGCTCTAGGTTCGCTTCTCTCTGTTCATCGGTGGGCGGGACATTAGGTGGTGGGTTCCGCAAGACCGGGAAGGGCGAAAAGTTGGGATGATCCATGCTGTCATAGGTCGCGGATTGCGCGTAGGAACTGGGATCGTGAGCTTGAGTGTGTTGAGGTTGACCTTGAACGGCGGAGGAGGTGCGCTCGGGATAGGTGTGGGCGCGTTGGTATTGCGGCTGTTGCGGTTGTTGTTGTTGTTGTTGTTGTTGTTGCCCGCGGCGGGGGTCAGCGCGGTATTCCATCTCAGCGATATTGTCTTGCATGTTCTCGGGTACTTCTGGCATCACTCTAGGATGAATTAGTACTCGTATTGTCGGCATTTCCAGATTTTGCAGAGATCACAAAAATCGCAGAGACCGCAGGAATCGCAAATCGCAGAATAGATGTGAATCCAAAATCCATACCTTTGAGGAGATGGGGATATGACCTCTGGCATGTAGAAGTCATCTTGCCCCCTGGATACCATGTTGCACCTAAGCGTTGCTGACCACCCTGTGGTGGTCTATTCATTGTAATTTTGTTAGGAAATTGTTCAATCCCCCCTGTGATAGTTCTCAAGTCGAATGTCAAAAAAAAGAGGGGGAAATGAAAAGAGGAGTTCAACGTGGTTTAAGGGAAAAAAAGTAGACCCCCCACCCCCGCCAGGTCAAACGGTCAAACGGGATTGAATAAGAAGTTATTAATCGTGTATTAATAGTATCTAGGCAGTCTTATATCCTTAATAGTAATAGTACGAGAGCTGACCTGTAAGATATATACTATATATAAATATATTTATATATAATATAATAGTTATATATGTATACACATACATGTAATTCTTCAGCCTCACGAGGTACCTGACTTGTACCCGTGGGCGTAGGGGATTTCCTCTGGTGGGGCTTTGTATGTCTCCTGCCGCTTTAAGGCTCTCCGGTTCTGGAGACTCAGTAAATTTCAGTCCATCCTGGTCAGAATGACTAATCGTATCCTCGTACCTAGGTACCTACCTAGGTATTTATACCTCTAATAATTACCAAAAAGAAGTCGTTGGTATGGTAATATTGTAAACAATGCAGTAATTACGATGCAAACACTAATTTTGGCATTTCAAAGATACCTACCTAGGTAATCTACTAAAGCACCCAGTCCATATTCAGTCGATACGAATACATATATATGTACCTAACGGGGCATAGTTAGAGCCCCACAGGTCTATTTTGGGGCTGTGGAGTAAAGTGATTTGGAGGGTGCCTATCAGCTTACTCGGGGGTATTTTGGTGTTAGTGTTTTAAGATAGAGTAGATTGGGATATTGAAGCAGCTTGGTCACCTTGGAGTGGTAAAATATGTCTATAATTCAGATTATCATATGTGCATAACCAGAATCCACACCATGGGTTATTTACACAATGTATACAATGTATACAACACCATCTCGTAAGCCTAACGTCTCACTCCACACTCAGACTTCACATTAGAGTGAGTTGGACGCCTGATTCTTGGTAACAACAGCACTCTTCTCACAGGGCTCTGAGACATGATCGAGTGCTGCCTCCAACCCTTCAAGCGTTATTGGGTCTGCACGATCCAATTTGGGATCCTCGAAAAGAGCTGCAAGCTCAACTTCGGTTTTTCCTTTCGTTTCTGGAAACGTGAAAAATATAATACAAGTCTGCGTAGAAAGCATTAGTGTCACGAGGAATAGAAATGGAAAGGGTAGGAGAAATTGCACTCACCCCGAGGATAAGCATTCCCAGGTAGAAAATATAGTAATAAAATCCAATGCTATCCAGTGCAATGGGATTCACATACTGATTAACAGTCAGTGCTGCCTGTGAGACGGCCACTTGAACACTCAACCCCTTGGCCCGAATCGCAAACGGGAGAAGCTCCGTCGGATAGCAATAAAGAAGTGGATTGTTGGCCAAATTAAACGCCGCATCGTAGAGGAAAAGGAATATGACAACGGTATATGAGGCTCCCTTGTATCCATGTTGGGCATACATGGCCGAAGATATAGTCAATGGGACGTTGGCGAGAATCATCCCGACGAATGAAATCATCCAGAGAGTTCGTCTGCCGATTCGGTCCGCCAGTAAAGCTCCTGCTAGGGAGAAGAGCAGGTTCCAGACCTGCAAACCACCGTTAATACCGGTTTGCTGAGGTGTAGAGGTGATACCAATGCTGGTCAAGATGGGGCTGAAGTAGTATGCGATTACACCCTGGCCGTTCCAGAGTGTCAAGAGGGCAATAGTAGCCACCAGGGCAATTCGTTTCCTGTTTGCTGGTGACCGGTAGAGAACGCTCCAGCTATTTTGACCACTCTTTTTGGCGGCTGCTTCAGCCTCCAACAGAATATGTATCTCTTCCATCTCATGGATCACAAGTGCCGAGTGCAAGTTGCCGTTGCTATGATATTTTGCAAGCAGTTGCTGGGCTTCTTCTATGCGATGGTTTGCACAAAGCCATCGCGGACTTTCGGGTAGACCGCAAAGAACAGACATCATGACGAGCAGTGCGGGAACTCCTTGGATCAATGACGGTATACGCCATGACCAGCTGGTAGACATGTATCCCGTGCCGAACGTTGTCCACGCCGCGATGATGGAGCCTACGTACCAAAGTACATTGAACTAAAAAAAAAATTTAGATTAGTAGAAAGCATGATGAAGAGTTTGGGTTTATTAGTAAGGGGTTCCCTTACCAAAGAAGAGATTGTGCCACGCATTGCCGGATGAGCCAGTTCGAAGAGCAGCGAGGGGCCAGCAACACATGTGAAGCTAATCCCAAAGCCAATCAAAAAGCGACCACCAATAAACATACCAGCAGTTTGTGCAGCTGTCTGGATTATAGTTCCCACAAACGTCAGGGTTGATCCAACAAACATGCCTACTCGGCGTCCGAAGTAGTCCGCCGTGGGTGAGGCAACCAGAGCACCAACAAAGCCCCCAACAAAGACAATAGATGTGATGAGTCCAATTCTAGACGAATCGGGGTATCCCATATCTAGTGAAAGTGGTATAGTCAGTTTCTGTCTTGAAAATTGAACAAATGACAAATGAGCGATGGACCTTTAACCCAGGGCTTCATAGACTGGAAACTTCCGACCACACTTTCATCATAACCCGTCGTCATTTGTGATATAAGGATAGTAGCCTGCCATGCTAGTAGCTTGCGAAGACCAAGGTCTTTCCACCATTTGGCGAAGCGTTGAGTTTGGAATTCTTGAACGGGGGCAGTCATAGTGGAAGTTGATCTCTAATATTAATACAGAGCAAGATGGCATTGAACTGGAAGAACCAAGAAATCCATCAAACTTATATCTTGTCATGATTGATGGTATCTGAGAGTACAATTGTAGGATGGTCAAAGAACCTATCGATGTCCATGAAAATTGTCAATGAACATGGAAACCTTAATAACTCGCGCGAGACTCGCGCGAGTTTTTGGCTTTTTGGCTTATCTACGCGGCAGTTTCCGTCAACTAGGCCGAGGGACATCCCCGGATCACCACACTGGTGCCTTTAAATAAAGAATAGGTGATATGTCTATATATATATATATAAGTATATATGAAATACTTTTTAAAAAAATTTGTTCAACTATTTCCATCATCACTCAGTTTTGCACTTAATTCTCTACCCAGTTTGACACCTATATCATGCCTCATCGAACGGCTAATGAATTTACCGTGGACGATTCCAAAGTTCACGGAGACTGGCGAGATGAATTATTCCAAAATGGATACGTCGTGGTCAAAAACGCCATCTCACCAGAGAGATGTGAATACTACATCGACAAGATGTTTCAATGGTTGGAAAGTTTCCCTTTGGGGTTTGATAGGAACAATCGCTCAACTTGGACTGAACAACATTTACCCACACACATCAAGGGGGGATGTATCATGGATATCGTATCCAACATGAGAAGTTTATGTGGGAGGCCCGAACGTAAGTCCTCAATTCCCATATCTAATGATACACATCTAAGAATCGATCTTACCAGGGAGGACGGCGTAATTGAAGCCTTCGCTAAACTATGGGGAACGAACGAGCTGCTGGTCTCTTTTGATGGAATGAACTTCACCCTTCCATCTGGTACTACCCTGCCACAAACGAAACCTTGGCCACATATTGATCAAAGCCCACTGCGAGAGGGCATGCAGTGTGTCCAGGGAATTCTCAATTTTGCCCCAAATGGTCCTCAGGATGGGGGTCTTCTCGTCATGAAGGGATCTACCAAGCTTATGCCCGAATTCTTTAAGACTCACTCGGGTACAATTGGCCGAGAAACATGGGGACCTAGCGATTGGTTTGGCTTTGACGAGGGTGAGGTGAAGTGGTTCAAGGACAGAGGATGTGAGATTCACAAGGTCACTGCTGAAGCCGGGGATCTGATTCTCTGGGACTCTCGCACTATGCATTTCAATTGTGTTCCATCAACTCAGAACGTACGCGCTGTTGTTTGTGAGTACTCCTCTTCTATCTAAGTTGAAGTGGTGTCACTTTCTGACTGTCATAGATGCATGCTATACACCAGCTTCCTTTGCGACAGCTGATATCTTGCAGCAAAAAGGTGAACTGTTCGACCAGCGAATTGGAACGGTAAGTATCCTGTCTCTTCTGCATAAAGGAACAGTTTGTTGACTTCTTGAATAGACCCATTGGCCCCATGACAATCTATTTACTGAAACCAGTGACGAACACCGCCCAGAAGAAGAAGAAGGGGATTTGACAAAGCGTCTTAATGAGGAACCAATTGAAACGGACTTGGTGTTAAAATTGGCAGGGAAAATTCCTTACTAAATATTGGATTTCAGATCATCTGCTCGCCCATAGCTCATATCTTCTACCTCCACAAATTTAGATAGTTTCCATCTACCTATCTCAATCAATTACTTCTGACGTAACATTCAAACCTTGGTCTCTCATGACACTAGTCTCATCCATACATGAGAGCATGTATTTGGAATCATTTTCAGAGCGTGAATTCCAAAATAAAAAGAGAAGACAACAACCGAGATAATAACCGAGAATTATCAACTAAAGGCATATTATACACATTTCAGTCGTAGCCAGAGATACCCACTACTCTTCTTTAGCTTCGTAGTACCTACTCACAACATACTTCCTCTATCACACTATAACTCGAGCAAGATGATTTTGAAGGTTGGTGACCTCGTGACCTCGGCAGCCCTACGACCTCGATAAGGAGTAATCGTATTAGCCAATCACCGAAAGTCCCAAGGTTATCAAGACCAATCAGCTCAACCCCAGACTTCGGGAACCAAGGATGCCTCCAACCTTGGAAGTCATAGATAAATACCTCCAGGGCTGCATTTATATCTTAGAGGTTTTTGGTTTTCCCTATATTCTCAATGACGGCCAGAAAGAGTCAAAGGGCACCCACTGCTTGCTCTAGCTGTGCTAAACGTCGGGTGAGATGCGACAAGCAGATCCCATGTGGAACTTGTCTTGCAAGAGGCCTTGAAACCACATGTGCAAGAGAAGTTGTCAAAGTCAAAGGCCGAGTTACCAGGTGAGTCAAGTAATATAGTATATAAACCAGTGCTAAAATAGAGACAGTGCGAAGCAGAAAGACCCAGTTCTATCGTATTTTGAACTCCAACAAGAAAACAATCGACTAAAAGCTGAGTTATTCAAACCCAACCTACTTATACAGCGGAAATCAACTGCTTCTACATATCCTAAATGGGAAAACTCTGTTGAAATGCTCGAAACCCAGACGAATTTGCAACATGGCAAAAGCGCTTATCATCAGAAAGTGTGGAATCGAGTAGATATCCAGATGCCAAGCAAAGACTGCAGTGATGTTCTATTGCATCATGGCTTTACGTGGACCTCGTGGATCCATTTTGCCGTTCATCTGCAAACATTCGAGCTGGAGCACGAGTCTGCTTGGATGAACGGGGTCTTCCTTGATAGTGATACTCTCTGGCTTGCTGTATATTTTGGCTTCATAGCAGTGAGAAAATATTTCCTCTTTTTTTCTATGAGCAACAAATCTGATTGATCATAGATGAGTCTGATGTTCATGGACGAGGATGAAGCTAGGAAAGCGGGACTGCCTCTAGGTTTGACTCCCCACGTTTTTCCTCCAGTCAAGTCAATACTTCTCAAGTCTAATGCATCATAGAAAATACACCTGAGCTTGTCCAAAACTGGTATAGCACAGCGCTTTTTTTCCTTAACGAGGCTGACTTTATGCGGAATCCTGATTTCAAGACTGTACAGGCCATTGCCATACTGATCGGACTGGCCAAAAATGTTGGGGACTTTAATCTTCAACCAGTTCTTCAAGCAACAGGCATAAGGATAGGACAGATTTTGGGGATGGATCAGGAGCCCCCCATGGTATCCAAAGACCCTGTTATGCAAGAAATCAGTCGACGAGTTTGGTGGACCTTGATCATCTGTGAATGGCTGTCCATACCAGCGCATGCGCCCTGCATCCACGAAGCGGACTTCAATGTCAGGCTACCACTGGTTCTGTCAGATGAAGAGTTAACGACAGAATTAATTGACAAGCCGAATACGGCCATCAAAAGGCCACGTCCAGTGGATTATCACAACGCTATGATTTTCTTGGCACAATCGAACTATCGTTTTCGAATCCAAATGTCGGCCATTGAAAATCTAGGTGGAGATAATCTTCTTGAAGACCTTGTTCTGACAACGGATGAAGCCATGGCCAATATCATCTCACAATTGCCATCCCATCTTCTCGAGATCTCTGGAGGACCAGATCAAGACAGGGAACAATATCCGCCCTGGGTATTGTGGCAACAAACCACCTTGTCTCTCTCGTTTCTGTTCTGTCGAATGAAAGTCAACCGAGTCCTACAACATCGATGGGCCTCCTCTTCGGATGTCCTTCTTGCAAGGTCAAAGGCAATATGTTTAGACTCGGCCAACACGATTGTGTCTATGGTCAAGCAACACAAGGTTGTGTTGGCACGCCATCGTCCATGGTGAGTCTCAATTCTTCTTCTGTTTTCATCAGACCCATTCCACTAAATTTTCTACTTCTTCTTTCCTTTAGGGCAACAACCTCTGCTTTATTTTCTGCTGCGTTGACCCTTGCAGCAGAGGCAAAGCGCCTTGACTCGAATGCAGCAGAGGAGTATATTGACAGAATTCAAACTTGTTTCTCATTCTTTGAGTATATCAAAGACCACAGCGCTCTTGCAATGCGAGTGCTAGGTGAATTGAGGGCATTCTGTGCTGAAATATGTTGTCATAATTCTGAGGCAACCGATAACAAGTGACTAGAGTTTTGACAAATTTCATGGAATCCATTGCATTAATATAAGAGACAGTATATTTAGATCGATCCAATTCAGTCATTGTAGGTGTAAATGCTTCAAGTTCCTAGGAATGTGGGTAGGTATGAACGAGAAAACGGTCCTATCAATATAGCTTATGGGCGACAAATGTCCTGATTGGGAAATCGTGGGAATAAGTAAACAAAATATCCCTAGAAGCATTTAAAATAGAACAGCATACTTATTAGGTGGTCAAGTAGCAGATTCCATGACACAATTAAGGCAGCCAGTTTAGGATGAATCACGTTGATAAAGCCAAGGCTTTCGCGATGGGAGGGCTAAAATGATGGAACTAGCGTGTTTGCCCAGGTGCATTCCGTGGAACCTTGGAACTATGGCTCAGCTCAGACTTGGCGAATCAGGGCTCTCAGATGGTGAGCGGTGGGTCAGAGAGGGGCCATGCTCAACTATACTGAGCAAAAAGCGGCAAGGCCTGAGGACTAAAACGAACAAGTGGCAGAGGAACTCTGATACCTACGTACATACGGGGTCTCTCATATTTCCAACATGTACCTCTACTACGACATTACTTGGTATAGGTAATGTAATTCGGTTTTTTTCAATGTTCCCTCTTTTTTTCCCTTCTGCCTTACAGAGAGACCCATTTTTTTATTTATTTTTTATCTTTTCCTTTTCCCTTCCTTTACGAGACTATACGGAGAGTACTCCGTACCTCCTTTCTTACTGGATATCATCTCCACTATGGATTTCCACCATCCCTATACGCCATACGATATTCAACTACAATTTATGCAGGCCCTCTACGCCTGTCTGGAAGATAGTAAGATCGCTGTATTTGAATCCCCCACTGGTAAGCTAGAACTACTTATAACCTTTCTAATTTTTTTTTATCTAACATGTTATACAGGAACTGGAAAATCTCTCAGTTTAATCTGTGGTTCTTTGACCTGGCTTCGAGATCACAAGCGAAAGGCCTTCCAGGAAACTGTTGATGCAACATGTGGGTCCCACTGTGAAACATGTCACTACATATCAGCTATCTGACATTCCACAGGCGATGACGATGAGCCCGAGTGGATGATCGAACATGCCAAAAGGGAATCCAGGCGTGCCATTACCGAAAAGAGACAAGAATTCGAGGCCCGATTGGCCAAGATTCGACAAGAGGAAGAACGTTTGAAACAGGCCCAGGACAGCGCAGACCGACCCCGTAAAAAACAGGTATGCATGTGTTCCCCGATGGATGCAAGATCGTCATATTAACTAGAAAATAGCGACTCGACGACTCAGAACTGGAACTTGTTGACAATGACGATCAATTTGTTCTTGATGACTATGATAGCGACACAGACAATCAGAAAAAGCAGAATGACTCTGGGAATTCCGATGGTCTCTCTGCAAGCACGTTAGCCTTGCTGGAACGGTTTCAAGGGAAATTCTCAACACAAAAGAAAGATGAAGAAGATGAGGGAGATGACGAGATCAAGATCTTTTTTTGCTCAAGAACGCATTCCCAGTTAAGCCAGTTTGCCGGTGAATTGCGACGGGTCACCTTCCCATCTAGTCTACCTAGCGATCTCGATCCAGAGAGCAAAGATGACCTTTCCAAACTCGAAGAGCGTGTGAAACACCTGTCGCTAGGGTCCAGAAAGAACCTGTGCATCAACCCCAAAGTCCGGGCCTTGGAGAACAACACCGCAATTAACGAAAGATGTTTAGATTTACAGCAATCGGGTGTTGCAGCCGACAAGAAGTGTTCCTTTATTCCCTCCAAGGACGATGAGGCTCTGGCGCTTGAGTTCAGGGACCATGCTTTGGCGACGGTGAAAGATATCGAAGACATTGCCCAGGTTGGGAAAAAGCTCGGAATATGTCCCTACTATGCATCACGTCCAGTTATCAAGCACAGCGAGGTTTGTTTCACCCAGTCGCAGGTATGGCATCGGCCCTAACCCAAGACTAGATTGTCACACTTCCATATCCATTGTTGCTACAAAGATCAGCTCGCGAGGCCCTCAATCTCTCCGTCAAAGGTCATATTGTTATCATCGATGAAGCTCACAACCTCATGGATGCAATAGCTGGCATTCATTCGGTGACTGTCTCACTAAGTCAACTGCAGACTGCCATCGGACAGCTGACAACGTATGCCCGCAAGTTCAAGAACAGACTAAAAGGGAAGAATCGAAACTATGTTGCTCAAGTCATCCGGTTGGTGAGCTCCATTGCGGGGCATATGAAGTCAATCTCTCAGCAAAAAGGACCACTGGAAGGCTCGGTGCAAACGTCAGATCTCATGGCTGGAAAGGGAGTGGACCAAATCAACCCTTACAAGCTCTCTAGATATCTGCAAGAGAGCAAGCTCGCCCGGAAAGTTGACGGCTATCTTGAATCCTCGCAACAGCCACAACCTGATCGGCCTAAGGATAAAACAACAATGCCGGTTTTGTTTCATATTCAAAGCTTCCTTCTTCCTCTTATGAACCCCTCGGAAGAGGGGCGGCTCTTCTTTCAGAAAAGCCAAGACGATGTTTTGTTGAAATACATGCTTCTTGACCCTACGAACCACTTTCGGGAAATTGCCGAAGACGCCAGGGCAGTCATTCTAGCTGGTGGTACTATGTCTCCTGTAAGTACGACTCGTATTTTAATATCTTCGCAGCTCTCTAATGCCTTCAACAGATGTCAGATTATGTGAATCATTTGTTTTCATATCTGCCCCCAGAACGACTAGGGACATTCAGCTATGGCCACGTCATTCCAAAATCCAACTTGGTGGCGCAGTCCTTGACTCAAGGACTGATGGGAAACGAATTCGATTTTACGTATGAGGCACGAAATTCCGAAAAAATGGTATGTACCAAGGTCCACACTGCGGAAAGTTTTCTTATTTACATATCAACTAGATCACCGACCTTGGGCGTACGATAGCAACCCTCTGTCAAATCATCCCAGACGGAGTGGTCGCGTTCTTCCCCAGTTATGACTATCTCAGTCATGTTCTGAGCGTCTGGAAGAAGCCCATTCCCAACGGGAACGGCCAAAGTACTCTCAATCTACTAGAACGAAAGAAGAAGATTCTCTACGAATCTCGCGAAGCAGTAACAACTACGGACGATTTGCTACGAGAGTATACGGAAGCTGTTGAATCAGGATCAGGAGCCTTGCTTCTGTCTATCGTGGGTGGCAAGTTGTCAGAAGGCATTAATTTCTCTGACAAGCTAGGGCGGGGTGTCTTTATCATCGGCCTACCATTTCCCAATATCCGCAGCCCTGTATGGCAGGCCAAAATCCAGTACTTGGAGGAGAAAACCTACAAACAGGCTTCTGGGTCCGAGCCAGAAAAGAAAGCAGCAGGCAAGGCAGCGGGTAGGGACTTTTACGAGAATTCATGCATGCGAGCAGTGAACCAGTGCATTGGTCGGGCCATCAGACACGTGAATGATTACGCTGCTATCATTATGATTGACCGCCGGTATGAGTCGCCACGGATCCAGCAAAAACTGCCTGGTTGGATTAGAGGAAGCTTAGTGCCAGCACCCCCTACGCGGGCGGCTCAGATGACTGTGCAAAGACTATCAAAATTCTTCGCTGAAAAAGCGCGATAGCCAGATAGGCACTGTAATAAGAAGAGAAAAAAAATTCAATTAAAAAAAAACACTAAAAAAGGATATAGCATCATATGTTTTTGCATAAAATCCGTGCTCATTGGATACTTTGGCATGCGCAGATAGATGTAACAAAAGCCCTAAGTTGTGAAAGACTGGCAGAATTAAAGAAAGGCGGTGTACGCCACACATGACATAAGTTCTGACAAAGTCAGGGCTAGGGTTCCACGATCACGGGACAAGCGAATTTGTTAGCGCACACTCTAAGCCTGGATTTCAACATCTTGTAGACGGAACGATCCCTTCAACGCCAAACATCAACGGTCTTGTCACACCCCCGCCGACAAGATGCCTACCCGTTTCTCGAACACCCGGAAGCAGTGAGTCGACACCCTTTCCTGTGCCGTCTGAATCGAATTCTTCTCTCGTCGATCGCGACCAGAAGAGCCAAATTCGTCATAGCCCAGTCGCAATATAACACCAACATATCACTAACCTCTCATTCTCTCGCAGCCGCGGCCATGTGTCTGCCGGTTACGGTCGTGTCGGCAAGCACCGCAAGTCCCCCGGTGGTCGCGGTATGGCCGGTGGTCAGCACCACCACCGTACCAACATCGACAAGTTCCACCCTGGTTACTTCGGTAAGGTTGGTATGCGTTACTTCCACAAGACCAACCAGCAGTTCTGGAAGCCCACTATCAACGTCGATAAGGTACGTTACATCTACATCATGCGAGTCGATTCGGATATGAAGAAATTGTGGATTGGTCTGGAGGCGGAAGTGCGCAAATGGCGACAATATGCAAAAGAGAAGGGAGGCCAATCAACAAGAATTATGAAGAATTGCGAAAATTTTATTGAGAAGGGCAATTATGGCTGACTTACGACTTTTTTTCACAGCTCTGGTCCCTCGTCCCCGCTGAGCAGCGTGACGCCTACCTGAGCGGCCAGAAGACCGATGTCGCCCCCGTCATCGACCTCCTGCCCCTCGGCTACTCCAAGGTTCTTGGAAAGGGCCGTCTCCCCCAGATCCCCGTCGTCGTCCGTGCCCGCTACGTCAGCCGTGACGCCGAGGAGAAGATCAAGGCCGTCGGTGGTGTTGTTGAGCTCGTCGCATAAGCGTTGATTCGTCGAGAAATTTCTGGGGAAGGCGGGTGAATAGGGGCAATTTGAAGCCCTAGCTGTGTTCGTTCGCCAGCATGGAGGACGATCGGAACTCAAAATGAGATCTGCCCGAACCGAAACCAAGTCGGTTCGGGCGGTCGAAAATAAAAAGGGTTTTTTTGTATGCAATCAGCATAGCATATGGCCTCCGAATGCCCTTACGATTTCATCAGTGTGTTAAACAAATACCATAAGGAGGATTTTTTTCAACTGTTGTTCATGTCCAATGTCATGGTTGGAGGGCAGATAGAGTGTTGGTTCTGAAATCTTGAACCACGCTCGTGTAGGATGACTGAGGCTACCTTGCTGGGACATAGAAGGCTTCCCAAGGTTACTGCGCAGGTTCGCTGTTAAAAGCTACGGTTATCTTCGTAGATTTTGGGGTCTACCAATATGTCCGATTACGATTGCAAAACTACCGAACTGATAGGTCTGATCATATCACATCTAATTTCATTCTATGTAGACATTGAAACGTTCATGGCCTATTGCTCAGATCTTTGACTCTCGCACCGAACCCCGTCGACCCGCTTTCTCGGGACCCGCGGCCAATGTCTCACTGATAAACCGAACAGCCTCGTCGGCCATCTTAGGAGTGACCTCATGGCCCGCCACCTGGTCAATGATATCTTCAAAAGACACCGCACCATCGCCAAACCACCCATCGGACGAGATAGTCTGCTTGAACCAGTTGAGGAACAGCTCTCCACGATGATAGGGAACAAGCTTGTCCTTGCCACCCGACAGATTCAAAATGCGCTTCCCAGCCAAGGCACGAGTCAGAATTGGCCGGAGCACTTGCTGCTCACTTTCTGAGGGTTGAGGCAATGGGCCTTCGCGCAAAGGACCAGTCGACGGCCCACAATCCACATGCTTCAGCATCATACCGGCGGGATCATATCGATTGACGGTCTCTAGGAAAGAAGTCGGCAAGGCTTCTGAGCCAAGGACCTCCGCGCCAGGCGGGTCACTCTTAGTCCACGATGGCAGCTTCGAAAGTCGTGCGCGATCTGCCATCAGATTGACATAGTCCGGACAGCCAATGATGACGACCCCGGCGCTGACTCGAGGCTCGTGCAAAAGACAGCTCCATGCTGCGTGCCCTCCCAGTGAGACTCCCAGAACTAAATTCTCGGTGATCTTGTGCTCACCACTGGGGAATGTGTAGGAGGGAAGGTAGTCCATGAGCACCGATGTATCTCTTGCGGTGCCCTCTGGTTAGAGTTAGAATATCGTATCTTATTTTACCAGTCTTTTTTCACTCACGGAAGATAGAGAACATATCCTGGGCATGTCGAGGGTTCCCCTTTTTCCAAGACTCATTGGCAAGAGGGTCGATTGTCCGGGTACCATGGTTTCGCTGGTCGAACGAAACAGCAATCAGACCTTTGGCCGAGGGTGAGTCCTGGTTTCTAGTGTTCCAGTCGGTGATGGCGGAATTGGCAATGCCAGTCATGCGCTCCTGCGTGGCTAATCTGGGGTGAAGAAGCCAGAGACATGCGACCTCTGAGGCCTCTTTGCGAAGCTCTTCTAGTCCAAAGACCGTTACTGAGATGCCAGCAATTGCGTAGACCTTCTGGGAGATGGCGGCCGGGGTGGGCCTATCTAGATCATTCAATGACTTTAATGGATCAGTCATGATAGTTGAATAGATATGAAGAACACAAGGTATAAGGTGAAATATGTTGAAGAGAAGTGGGTTAAATAGCGGGGAGATAAGATGGGAGAGTATCTTGAAAAGGCAACTCGGGTATATACTACACCAAAGCCGAGGCCTTCGCTTTAGGATACTCTTCCAAGGTTAACATAGTTCCGAGTTACCAAGTATTTATGTATTTACGTATTTACTTATCTTTATGATATATTTTAATATATATATATATATATGTGAATATGAATTCTACTTTGTTGCTCCAAGGTCCTCAATTGAGGCCATAGATGACAATTTGATTTCATATTAAAGAAGAAACCCCTACAATAGTTTGTATTCTATACTTAATACCTTTATACTCCATGTTAGATACTATACGTAGAAATATGCCCGTATAAAGTACTAAAGTACTCCGTAGATAAAACTCCACTAAAAGCAGACGTAAACCCCCTTTTTTTCCCAAACTGACCGCCCCCATCTTCTCCAGTCGGAGAACAGCTGGGCAACTCCACTCTAAACCAATTTAGCTATGCTCCTTTTAATGTCAACACACGTTCTTTAAACATCGTTAAACCTGGATTTTCTTGTTTTTGGAATTCTAGAGAGGACAATGATCACTACATAGTCATTTTTGACCCGTGTATTGAGTATGTACAAAGTAGAAGTGGTTGATCCCCCCGTGAACTGCAACTGATAATCATCGTGCATTAGTCCCAGAATCCAAACATGTCGGCCTCTTCAATTCACAAGGATGTGGAAACTGGCTCATTGAAGGTCGATACCAAGAAGCAAGAGCCTCCTTTGACTTTAAACAAATCAAAATTGGCATCCCCGTTGCCTTCTCCCACCGAATCCAAGAAACCGACCTCAATCAAGCAGACCCAGCCCACCCAGCCCACAGACGATCATGAAACAGGTGGAATACTAGGCGACAAAGAAAATGCGCGTCCATCATCCTTGAAACATGGCTCACCGAGGGGCAGATCATCCCTGAGCACGCGACCACCAAACCGGTCAGCTGAGGACCACCAACCATGGAGTCGCCATCAACGCCAGTCGTCTAACCCCGGAATGTCTCCTCCATCCCGTGCCCACAGTGTACAATTCAGGGATACAGACACAGAGGTCCCCGACGCATCCCATTCCCGGCCGCAATCTCGACCCCCTCTCGACCCGCCTCCCAACATGGCGACGATGATGATCAGGGTGCCAAAGGAAAGCAGTCGTTGTTTGGCAAGTTGAAACTACTCGCTACTGCACCAAACTTTGCGTCACACTCGCGGTCTCCCAGCGGCGCGAGTACGGACTTCCGTTCAGCACCGGGCGATATAGCTACCCCGGGGTCGGAAAGGGGGAATTCCGCTTCCCAGAGCCCCTGGAAGAAGAGGGCAGTGAAATCGATGCGGATGCGGAAGAAAGTGGCGCTGAGGAACGTGATCCTCGTGAAAAGAGAAAAACGCAACGGCGGAAGAAGCAATTGGAGGAAGAAGCTGGCTCCAACACCGCCCCTACAACGCCTAAAACAACGCGCAGACCATCCTTCCACTTCTCATCCTCCTTCGCACCCTTCGAGAACTATCGCACTAATTTGTTCCCCCGAAGAGCAAGCACCACAGACTTCACACCTCAACAGCGCGAAGGTGTTTCCGAAGATGAAGGCCGTGAGAGGCTCAGCCGGCGGATGAGGGGCCGCCCATGGGCAAATACTCGGGTTGCTAGCTACACTGACCGCGTAGATGGCAATCCGGACGAACAGCGCCCGAGCAACTTGAGGCGATTGACCGGATTCGCCGGGCCATCTGGAAACGATGAAAGCCTAGCGGCGAGCTGGAGACGCCATCGAACCGAGCGAGGAACCAGTGCCAGTGCTCAACGATGGAAGCAAATCAAAGCTGGTCTGAAACTCATTGGACAGCGACGAAGGCCAGAGAACGCAGTGGACAATAAAAAATCCGCAGAGTTGCTTGCTGAACTCGCTTCAGCCGTACCTGCTGCGCTTATACTGGCCAGCGCGTTCCAACGAGATGAGCATGGCAGTAAGAGAATTCCGATTCTTTTGGAGCAATTGAAGGTTCGTGTCACAGACAGCCGGATTGATTCCCACTCTGGTGATCGTCATCTGGTCTTTCGAATTGAAATGGAGTACGGAAGTGGCATGACTCGCATGAAATGGATCATCTTCCGCACGCTAAGAGACTTTGCCAATCTGCATCTCAAGTATAAGCTTCATTTGGGAACTCAGAAGTATATTCAGCTACGCACGAGTGAAAACAGCCCAAGTCTCCCTCGATTCCCTAGAAGTGCCTTCCCCTACATGCGAGGTGTGCGCGGCCTTGAAAGTGAATTCGAGGATGAAGATGAAGAAGGTGGCTATGAGACTGGTGCGGAGGGGATGAGTGGTACAGAGAGGCCTCCGACAAAGAAAAAGCAGAATCAACAACCGCACCAGCGGCGGGCCTCTGGTCCACTTGTTCGAAGAAAGTCCAGCATCACGAATCAAGAAGGAGATTCAGCCGCAGGACCTTCATCCACCCATGAAGGTGTGTCGGGAGCTAAGAAAGAGACATACCCTGGGAAGCAGCGAAAAAAGCTTGAGATCTATCTGCAAAAGATGATTAGGTTCCTGATCTTTAGGGCTGACAGCAATCGCCTGTGCAAATTCTTGGAACTGTCCGCTCTCGGTGTCCGTCTGGCTGCAGAGGGCAGTTACCATGGCAAGGAAGGATTCCTGATAATCCAGTCCTCCAAGGGTCTTGATTTCCGAAAAGCTCTTACCCCGTCTTTGGTCAAGAAACGCCATTCGCCCAAGTGGTTTTTGGTCAGGCACAGCTATGTAGTCTGCGTAGACTCTCCCGAGGAGATGAATATTTATGATGTCTTCTTGGTGGATGCCCATTTCAAGATTCAGACACCGAAGCTAAGTCTTCGCAAGCAAAATCCAAAGGATCTTGCCAAGTCCGCAAAACAGTCTGCGAGGCATCCTCAGCACCACACTCTCCGACTTGAGAACTCTGAACGCAAGCTCAAACTGCTGGCCCGGAATGAGCGTCAACTCCAACAGTTTGAAGACTCGATCCGCTTCATGGTTGCCAACACTCCATGGATGCGCCCCAACCGGTTCGACAGTTTCGCGCCTGTACGACAAAACTGCTTTGCGCAGTGGCTGGTTGACGCACGAGATCACATGTGGGTTGTCTCACGAGCAATCAACCAGGCGAAAGATGTCATTTATATCCATGACTGGTGGCTGAGTCCAGAGCTTTACATGCGTCGGCCTGCCGCCATCAGCCAGAAATGGCGATTGGACCGTCTCCTGCAACAGAAAGCTCGGGAAGGCGTCAAAGTCTTCGTGATCATGTACCGCAACATCAACTCCGCCATTCCCATTGACTCGGAGTATTCCAAGTTCTCTCTCCTTGATCTTCACCCCAATATCTTTGTCCAGCGATCACCAAATCAGTTCCGCCAAAACACTTTCTTCTGGGCCCACCACGAGAAGCTTTGTCTTATTGACCACACCATCGCATTTGTTGGAGGTATCGATCTGTGCTTTGGGCGTTGGGATACTCCTCAGCACCAGTTGACCGATGACAAGCCTACCGGCTTTGAAACTACTGATGGCCCTAAAGATGCAGATCATTGTCAACTCTGGCCGGGCAAGGACTACTCCAATCCTAGAATCCAAGATTTCTATGACCTGGATAAGCCGTACGAGGAGATGTATGATCGCAATGTCGTGCCCCGGATGCCATGGCACGACATTTCCATGCATGTCGTGGGCCAGCCTGCTCGGGACCTTACTCGTCATTTCGTGCAACGCTGGAACTACATTCTTCGCCAGCGAAAGCCCACGCGGCCGACCCCCTTCCTGTTGCCGCCACCCGATTTCAACCCCGCGGATTTGGAAGCTTTGGGTCTTGATGGAACTTGTGAGGTACAAATCCTCCGTTCTAGCAGCATGTGGTCGACGGGAACACCCGATGTTGTCGAGCACAGCATCATGAATGCGTATGTGAAGTTGATTGAGGAATCTGAGCATTTCGTCTATATCGAGAATCAGTTCTTCATCAGCACCTGCGAGATTGAGGGCCGGAAGATCGAGAACCTCATCGGAGATGCCCTAGTTGAACGTATTGTCCGAGCTGACAAAAATGAGGAGGCATGGCGCGCTGTCATTGTCATCCCATTGATGCCAGGCTTCCAGAACACCGTGGATAGTGAAGGTGGAACAAGTGTTCGCCTTATCATGCAGTGTCAATACCGCAGTATCTGCCGTGGGGAGACATCTATTTTCGGCCGTCTTCGTGCTCTTGGAATCGAGCCAGAGGACTATATCCAATTCTACAGCCTGCGAACTTGGGGCAAGATTGGACCGCAAAAGGCACTGGTGACTGAGCAACTTTATATTCACGCCAAATGCATGGTTGTTGACGATCGTGCTGCTATCATTGGATCTGCAAACATCAACGAACGATCCATGTTGGGTTCGCGTGATTCGGAGGTTGCATCTATCGTGCGAGACACCGATATGATCATGTCTTCCATGAATGGCAAGCCATACCTTGTTGGTCGATTCCCACATACTCTGCGTATGCGTCTGATGAGAGAACATCTCGGAATTGATGTCGATGAACTCATGGAACATGACTTTGCTACCGAAGAAGAGCTACGCAAGATCCAGGTCGCAGAGGGGAGTGAACACCCAGTTGGCAACGGAGAGCGAAGAAATTCGGCGTCCTCGGCTATCGAACGACAAGATGAGAGGGATATGGTCGAACGTCGGCATCGTGTCCAGGATGAGTTCCTTTCTCGCTCTGAGGACATGTATAGCTTCAACCATGATGTCGATTGGGAGCAGGGTGCCAACCCTAACCTCAAATCGAACCGTAAACTCACTACTGACCCTCGCGTCACTGAAAATCCTGATCACAGGAAAGACGTGGAAGGGGATGGCCCCGATCATCTGGCAGCCGCTGCTCGGGCTGGTTTAACCGTTGGTCGTGATTCGGAGGTAGAGACCAATGGAAAGGAAGCCCTGCTTTCACCCATCGCCCCTGAAGGGAAAGGCACTATCGAGCGACCGAGATCATCGCAGCAAAAACCTCCTCAAACACCCTTGACCCGCAAGGACCGCAGACCTGGGTCATCGAGCGAGACCAATCCTAACTCCGAGATCAATGCGAATGCCCCATCTCAAGGCCATGGAGTTAATGGTTCGTCGAGCCGCGAGTCCGAGACTAACGGTGCCGGTTTGAACATACCCAAGGAAGAAAATGAAACCCCTAAGCACAACCACCCGTCTGTTCCAGACCTCAAGCGTATCTTCATCGATAACGACTGCATGAGAGACCCGATCATCGATGGCTTCTACCTGGATACATGGCAAGCCGTCGCCGAGAAGAACACTAAAATTTACCGATCTGTGTTCCGCTGCATGCCCGACAGCGAGGTGAAGAACTGGAAGGAGTACAAGGAGTACGCCACGTATGGCGAGCGCTTTGCAGAGATGCAGAACCAACAAGGCAACAAGCCAGCCCAGCCTCAACCGAAACAAAGTGGCCCACCCCCAGCTGGTGCTCCGGTCAGCTCTCCTATGTCGATCGCGTCTCAGATGTCTTTCATTACCCCAAGGGCCGAAGGACCGCAGGCAGACCCGAAGAGCCCCCAGACAATTGACGAGAAGATCGGATCTGGGAATGAAGCTGGTCGTCCTCAGTCTGAACAGTTAGTGAAGCAGGAGACATTATCATCTATTGATGAGAAGGCCACGCTCAAGACGGCGTCCGACCCGAATCTGTTGACCAATGTTCCGAACGGGACCAGTGACGAGAATGGTGTCACCGCCGGGGAGGACATCGAAAAGTCACGAACAACCCCGGCTCATGTCGATTACTCTGAAGCCGTGAACCTGAATCTGAACTCGACGAGCCAGTCTCGGAGACGTAGACGCAGAGCTACAACGATTGGCTCGAAACGTGACCCCCATGGTACAGATGAGTATTTGGATAAGGGCCGCGCAGAGGACCTCCTCAACAACACTCAAGGCCATCTCATCATGTGGCCTTATGACTGGTATATTTCTACTTCGTTCCTATTAGACCTGAGGACATACCCACTGACGAATTCTATTTACAGGCTCGAGAAAGAGGAGCAAGGTGGAAACTGGCTCTATGCTTTGGATCAGATCTCTCCTCTGGAGATCTAGTAAGTTGCCCCTCTTTACCGGTTCCTGGACATGATACTAACGGATTTATAGCAACTAATCTCGAATTGCTTTTGCACTTGACGGCGTCTTGCTCTTGATTTAATCGTTTGCTCATGTTTGTCTACTTGGTGTCCGCGTTGGAATTCTCGAGCGCCGCTACAGCGATTGATGCATTTTCATTTTTATAGATCTTCCTCGATGGCTCTTTGGCTACTCATCCTTTGGAGTTGTCTGCACTTCATGGCGATTTTTTTTTCGTTGTATTCCCCTACCTGAGTAGCGCAATATAAGTAATCAACCATTTTCGAATACAGGGATAGTATATTCTCCGCGTGATGAGCAAATAGATATATTATTCTTCCAAGGTTATGATGAAATGGCTTGTACTTTAGTTAAAGACTGCAAAAATAGCAGTTGAAAAATTGAATCTATGATTATATCTATGAAGAGGTAGACTCTTCCGCAACGTAGTGCAGGTAAGCTCCCAGCAGCTTGGTTCCCTCAATGTAGTTTCTCTTGTCAAGCTTCTCGTTGACAGAGTGGGCAGCATCAGTCGAGCTTCCCATGGGGAGGAGCAAGACGTTCTTGCCGGTGGCTTGCTCGAAGGTTAATGTGACAGGAATACTGTCAATGGTTAGCCGTGAAACTATCTTAGTGGGAAAACAGAGTCCTACCTTCCACCCTCGCGAGTCATATCAGGCTCGACTCCGAAGACTTGTTGAACAGCCTTGCTAGCAGCTGAAAAGTTCCAGTGCTTGGGGCTGGCGACCCACCACTTGCCATCATGCTGCAGCCAAACATCCAAAGTGTTCTTGGTGTTCAGCTTGGCAAACTCGGCTTTGATATGATCAAAGACCAGCTTGTTCACATCTTCACTCTCCATGTTGGGCACAGTGCGGATAGAGAATTTACCAATAACCTTGGCGGGAATGACTGTCTTAGCACCGGGGGCCGAGTAAGCACCCTCGATACCGTGGATGGACAGAGAGGGGTAACGCCATCTGGCCATCAGAGTACGCTCCTTGTTGGGGTGAATACCGGTCTCGGCACCCAACGACTCGTGGAGGTTGTCCATAGAGTAGCTGATGTTTCCATAGAGAGTCTGCTCCTCCTCGGTCAGGGGGAGCCACCAGGTCCATGAGACCCGGAATCAGGATGTTACCCTGGGAGTCAACCAGCTTGGACAGTACGTTGACCAGATCAGTCATAGGCTCGTGGGCAGAGCCACCAAAGACACCACTGTGGAGGTCTTGAGCAGGACCCGAAATGCTGATGGAGTAGTAGTTGCAGCCGCGCAGACCATAGGTGAGACAGGGCTTCTCAGTGCCGAGCCAGTAGTTGTCAGAGATACAAACGGCGTCGGTGTCCTTGAAGTACTTCTTGCTCTCAGCCTGAATGAAGTCATCCAGACCCTCAGATCCATACTCCTCCATTCCCTCGAAGCAGCACAACAAGTTGACGGGGAACTCGATACCAGCCTTGCGGTGGGCATCGATGACATTGAGCCAGCCCAGAACGGGTCCCTTGTCATCGGTAGAGCCACGGCCATACATCCGGTCCTTCTCATCAATGGTCAATTCGAAGGGCTCGGTGGCCCAGCCGTCTTCCTTCAGAGCAGGTTGCACATCGTAGTGTCCGTAGACGAGAATGGTACGCTTGTTCTTATCGTTGCCGTATCTTGCCACCACCACGGGTGGCAGCTCGAGGTGCTCTTTGCCAGGCTGCTTGCCCAGTGGACGCTGCTCGACCTCGGCTCCGAGAGCTGTGAGTTCGTCGGCAAGGAATTGTCCCATCTAGAAAGGTTAAACCCTGAATTTGTATATCTGCCGGGAGACTCACGCGGAACACATCCGGTCGGTTCTCATCTTGTGCCGAGATAGATGGGATCGCAACTGCCTTCCGTAGACCTTTTGACCATAATCAGCGAGGACCTTGCGAGAAGGCTAAAAAAGCGAGAAAGCAGCATTACATACGATCGATGAAATCGTTGGACGAGTCGTCGACCCTATTTGACAGTTAGTTAAAGTCTCTTGGTGGAGATAGCCATACTTACTGCTTGAAAAAGGGCTCTAAAGAGGGCGCCATTTTGGAATCACTAATATGGCCGTAGAAGAAACGGCGAGAGGAGATAGAAGAACGAAGAGCTGGAGAAAATCGAGAGGAAAAAGGACCAAGTTTGAATGGAACACGACGGAGGGGAAAGAGGGGCATTGCCGTCTTTGCCCTGAGGTAACCGCAGTGAAGGAAAGGTGACTTCTTATCACGTAATTTTTTATTGGTGCGATGTGACTAGGGGCGGTTTTGGTCTGAGACATTTCTGTTGGTCTATTTGGTCTATTTAGTATAATTTGGTATATTTGGTCTATTTTATATAAGGGTTACTGATATTTTCTATATCCTGGAGATAGAATAAATAAAGAGATATTTGGTATGGAATACATAAACAATGCTACAAATAAGCTAGAATACATGGATTTTCTTTACAATAAAAAAAGAACAGACCAGGCCAGACCCTCTCTCCAATGAGTTTGGACCAGATCACTATGCATCTCGTCCCCAGGCCTCGCGCCGCAATTGGCGATCCTCTCTGGCCATGCGGCGCTTAGGTCCCCATCGAGATTGCACCGCCTCCAAGATCCGGGCCTGGATTTCTCTCTTCTCTGGGCTTGCCTGGCAGACCATAGCAATAAAAACGGGCGAGCATTCAAAACGTTTGGCGAGCTTGTTTCGGCTCCAGGTCATGGGATCATTCTTGCGGAGATTGCGGATTTCTTCAATGTCTGAAGGGGTGAGGTGATATTTTCTTTCGGGCATAGACTTGTAGACACCGGGAAGATCGTCGGCGTTGGGGGTCGCAGTGGAAGAAAAGATAGATGATTTCCGAACATCATCGGCAGGCAAGAACTTGGATGGGGTGTGGTAGGCATTGGGAGCACTGGATGGCGGATTGTGGATAATGTGATCGTGCCCCAAGTTGGACGGTTCAAATGAGGAGTCGGGCTTCACACGTAGTCGTTGCTTGGTTCGTCGGTATGAAGATTGGTTTCGTCGAAATCCAAGTGCCAATGAATCCGACAAGGAGGGAATAAGGAATGGCAATGTGAGAAATGGCCGCTTCGTCGCGGCAGTGAAGGTCGCCATTGCTTCTGGTCAATTGGGGAGGGAAATTGATCAGAAACTGGAGTGATAGAAAAGAAAGAGTTAGTTCACGTTCATAGATATTATTTATAATGGTATTAAACTGACCTCAAGGTAAGACCGAACTTGGGGATTTGAAGGACTTGGTGTTGGCATCTCTCGCGCTTCAAACCCGAACTTTTTCCCCTGGTCTCGTGACTCTCCCCCTTGGCCTGGGTGTATTTATCATACCGTATTTTAAAGTACATGAGCAATCACTGTATGTATCCAGTACATTGGAAATGTTGTCTTATCGCCGCCAAATAAAAAGTACCGGATACAAGACGTAATCTACTAATGTACCCAAAGTAGGTAAATACATCATTTCCATAATTCCCGTTGGGAGATACCCGTCACCTGGTCTATGTCTCCCAACCGATGTCATCACTGAAACACTGAAACTTTTACTAACTCCCATTTACTCTACTTCATCATGGCTCTCGGATTTTAATAGTTTATCATATCGCAATGTCGGACTATACAGTTCAGACAGATCAGAAGCCAAATACGGCTGGACCGAGCACACGAGCCCCGAAGCCCGCTGCTCTCACATGGGACAATAATCAAATCGACGGCTCCATATCACCCGTGAGATCATCCGAAGCTTTGCGAACACCAAATTATGATTCGACCAAATACATGAGAAACCCCTCGTCGCCCGAAAGCTCATCGTATCTGCCACCTCGTATACATTCCCCCGCCTCTCAGATATTCGAACGAGATGTGCAGGAAGATATAGTGCCAGCACAGGCGTCGCCTTCCATACCCGCACATATTCGAACCGATAACTATATTCCACCTGTCTTAGAAGCGTCCTCGGCCGCGATCACAGATGACCGTCTCGATCCAGATTCGGTCGAGATTGTCACACATAGCCTACATCAGCCAGCGGGTGGCCTATCGGGAGAGCAATCCATGTCGTCCTCGGGCATCGATCATCTCTTGGGCCAGACCGAGGGGGATGGATTCTCGTCCAGTTCTGGAGCACTGGACACGACAGATGTACGTCGGCTGAGCTTCATTTCCTTTGCCGACGTTGTCAACGCCGAGCATGCAGAAACACATGAAGCTCATCCTGGCGTAGTCTCTCGGGAGCGCCTAGGAGATCTCAACCGATCCCCGTCTCCATTGCGCTCTCCATCTTCTTCACATGGACTTGGCACTTCGCCGCCAACAAGCATTGCGACCTCCTTCAGAGGGCTTGATGTGTCTCCCACTTGGTTCCCTACTGCTAGCGCTGCCCAAAGCCCAGTCTCTTCCAGTTTTGGGGGAGACCTTAATGTAGAGACCATGCGACAGGCTTTGAGAAAAACCGCCAGTGGAGACCTAGGCATCACAAGCCGAGCTGTGAGTACCATGGGGGATGACCCGCTAGATCGTACATTTTAGCAGGTCAAATTCAAACTGCTTTTGTTTGGCGTTGGACAGTGAGGGGCTGGGAGCAGGATCTCGTTTTTCTTCATGGGTACAGTGTGATAAGATATGGTAGTCTGCTCTATCGTGATATATACTGCAATTTACGGATCTGGATATACTAAAAGAAAAGTCCGAATCCTTGTGTGGTGCAGATGCCAACTTGGATTGAATTGCGCTAGATTATGCACTTGCCTGCCGAACGCTTTGCACTGCATCCAAGGCCCGTTGTACCCTGGCGCGCAGATCAGGTACATCTTCTAATCCAACACTGATTCTCACTAGATCCGGATCGACATTGAAGGATCTCGCCTAACACCTGTTAGTTATGGCCTGGTCAACATACGAGTGGTGTACATACCCAGTCTAATTCACCGTAATGAGCCAGGAGAACGTACGGAGAGCTGGAAAAGTTAGCAAAATCCAAGGTAAGGAGCCTGCGTACTCACCTCAATGTAAAGTTGGTCCCAAGGCTAGGTCCCTTCAAGACCTCGATGGTGTCGAAGAAGGCAATCGCCTCGGGTTGGGAGTGGAACGTGACAGAGAAGAGACCACCATAACCACCATTGGGATTGCGGAGGCTATCATATAGTGGTTTCGTGGGGCTGTATTTCGGGTAGTAAACGTCTTTCACTGTGAAATTGTTAGTATAGCTCTCAATCCAAGGAAAGATGAATCCCTTACCTAGGGGTGACTCCTTCAGCATAGCAGTAATGTCCTCGGAGGTAGCATTGATCTGTTCAATGCGAGCAATAAAATCACGGCTGTTTCGCTCTAGGAAAACGGCATCCTCTGCCCAGTAGATATCTTCGTATTCCCGTTTATAAGTTTCCTTGATAGCTGCATAATACTGTGCGTGAGGGTTGAGCACAGCACTTCCTCCCATGACGTTGCTATCTCCGCTGAAAATCTTGGTCAAGCTACTGACAACTATGTCTGACAGGGGTAAAACGTTGATGTTCACAAAGTTGCTGATGGTTTCGTCAACCACCACGGCAAAACCATACTGGTCTGCCAAAGTGCGAATCCGTTTGAGATCCGGTGTTTTGAGAAGAGGGTTACCTGGTGCCTCGGTGAAAAGTCCAAGGAAACGCTCGCCAGCCTTCAGTCGCGATTCCAGATCATCCAGATCTTCCGAGGAGCCGTGGCCATAGAATACGCAGCCTGGCCCCCACTTTTGGAGAATCTTCAATGTATCCGTGTAGGGGAAGCCGAAACAAATTGACGGCAAGTCGCCTCTAGTAGCCAGCAAGGCCTGATGAGCGTTAAAGATGGCGTTCATTCCCGAAGGGTAAAGAAGGACATCCTCCTCAGAAATGCCGGCGACTCGACCTTCCGATGAAGCTGTCTCTAGCGCTTCTGGCAGTTCAACATCGGCTGTCAAGACACCCGCAATACGTTTGCGAACTGCCAGCTTGGCTTGATTGGCGAGAGAAGTGCTGAGGTTTCGACCAAACCGCTCCTCAATAAATTGAGCATAGTCTCGGCCGTCTTCGTTGTTTGACTTGGGAGGAGATTCCCCAACAGAGCCCTTTCTCGCTCCATTGACGCTTTGGTATCTGCGAGGTCCCTTGCAAGGACGCTGAGAGATTGACTCCGCAGTCGCCAGGCCCTTGTCTTCCACCAAAAACCCATCCTCCAATGCCCCAAGGCAGAACTCACCTCGGCGACTGGAGATTCCATTGCCCGAGTGTTGCCATACCTGCTTGGTAATAGGGGCGTATTCTTTTGGGTAAATGACACACGACAAGGAAGACGTCACTGTTGATCCGGCATCGGTATGTGGGGATGGGATGAAGTTGACGATCCGTGTTTTGTATGCCTGCTCTGCAGGGATTTTGCTAAGCAGAAAGGAGTGACAGAGGCGCGCTGCCTTGGCTGATGCGAAGAGGGTTGCAGTCTCGAGGTTGGTGTCACCGACGCGGCGAACAATTTCTTGGGCGAGCTTTTGGATGATAGGATGAACGAAGAATCGGGGGTAACCGCATTGCATCTTGCTTACGACCCAATCTTCTCCTTCTTCGTAGCCGACATTTTCCCGCCATGATGGAAGCGATACACTGACGGCCTTATAAATGTTAGAAGAGTCATGGAGGGGTTGCGGGGAGTTTTAACCATACATGGTCAGTGTTTGGAGGCACAGGTCCTCCACAAGCCTGTATCATTCTTCGATTTGGAAAAATAAAAATAAAAATCAGAAGAAAATATGATCTATTCTATAGATAATTGTTTAAAATGAAGGATAAAGAGGGAGGGAGAGGGAAAAAAATATAAAAGACTTAAAGTTGTAAATGATACCATCCCCCTCCACTTGCGATTTCGGCGATGCTCCGGGTACCTGATAAATTACGAATGAGTCAGCTCGTACGGTATCAGATACAATACCGTTATCGCCCCAAAAAAAAATCTCGGCCTCTCGACTAACAACTGCTACGCTCGCGAAATGTCGGACCACACATCAAAGCGCAGGAAGCTCAGTCCTTCCCCGGAGAATGCTGTCACTAGCTCTTCAACGAATCAGACTTCGAAATCGACCGAGAAGCGAAACCCAACTCGAGGCAAAGATGAGCGCTCCGCAGAGCTTGCAATGGCCAGTGGCTTTTACAAGTCCAGTTTCTTCAAGCTGCAGATGGACGATCTACTGGCAGGATTGAGACCCAATTACAGCAAGCAACTCTCAAAGGTTCAGGAAACACTACACCAAATCAAAACCGCAATTGAAGGCCTGCCCGAAAGGTCTCCGCAATCTGTCCCCGATGCCGAGAAGGAGCTACGTGCTTCTGGTCTGGTGGTTCCATGGCCTGAGCCTCGGCCAAGCAAGGATGTCAAGTACAGCATGGCATACGCAAAGCCTGCAAACATCAATGTGGTAGGTAGCTTTGCGCTCAAGACAGGTGCTCGCAGTTTGGAGTCGCGCCCAATTGATCTGGCAGTCACCATGCCAAATTCGCTCTTCCAGGAGAAGGACTATGTCAACTTCAGATACTTCCACAAGCGGGCGTACTATATCGCGTGCGTGGCCGCTGGGATTCAAGACACCGCACACACCCTCGGGTTTGATATCAAATTTGGTCCTCAGGATGGAGACAGTCTCCGTCCTCTGATTTTGTTGGAACCGCGTCAAGCAGGATCGTCCGTGCCTACAATCCGAATTCTGACTGCAATCGACCCTACGTTGTTCCCGATCACAAGAACGCTTCCGCTTAAAAGCAACATCCGCCAGGGCTCCAATAACTCGGAGATCGGCGAACCGACCTCGTATTACAATGCCAGCCTCCGCTCCGACGCCACAGTATCTCTCTATCACAAGTCTATCTATTCGGCCTCCAAAAAGTGCGATTCTTTCAGCGATGCATGCATTCTTGGCCGCACTTGGCTGCAGCAACGAGGCTTCCATACCCCCTTCCAGAATGGTGGCTTTGGTGGCTTCGAATGGACTGTACTGCTGTCTTTGCTGTTTGAAGGTGGTGGTCCGACTGGACAACAGGTCCTGCTGCCATCATACAGCTGCTACCAAATTTTCAAGGCCACCATTCAATTTTTGGCGGGCAGGGATTTGACCACTCCTCTATTCTTTGGCCAAGAGGTTCCGGTTCCTTCCGGGGTACCTGTTGTCTTTGATGGCCGCAGAGGATTGAACATTCTTTACAAAATGACGCCTTGGTCATACACAACACTACGTCATGAAGCCGCCATCACCCTGAAAATGCTCAATGAGTCACGAGAGGACAACTTCGATAGGGTTTTCATTCTCAAGGTTGACGAGCCAGCCCTCCGATTTGACCGCCTAATCTCATTCCCCAAGTCATTCAATGGAGACACGCTCCGTGCTCTTCGAGAACAGAATGCTTTGTATACTGTTCTTTCCCGGGCTCTGGGAGACAGAGTCAAGCTTGTCTCTATTGCGAGCCACACCATTGATTCGTGGTCCGTCAAATCCAAGCAGCCCAAACGGTCAAGTCAAGGTGTGTCTGTAGGACTATTGTTGAATGCTGAAAATGTCGGACGAATTGTCGACCACGGCCCAGCTGCCGAAGAAAAAGAAGAGTCTGCTTCGTTCCAAGCTTTCTGGGGTGAAAAGTCGGAGCTTCGACGATTCAAGGATGGCAGCATCCTGGAGAGTCTTGTGTGGTCTGACGAGTCGGAGACATCTATCATCTACCAGATCTTGGAGTATATACTCCAACGGCACTTCAAGATCACCACCGATGAATTTAGATTTGTTGGTGATGAATATGACGAGCTCCTCAAAGAACATGGCGATGGTATATTGGCATACTCCAGCCCTGCTTTCCAGTCAATCGACGATGCTTTCAAGGACCTTGAGAGATCTATTCGCAGTATGGATGAAGTGCCACTGGAGGTTCGTCACTTGGCGCCGGCCAGTTCGCTTCTTCGTTATACCTCTCTTAGACCAACGGGAGCCACCGATGTTGTTCTTCAGTTTGAAAGCTCCTCGCGTTGGCCTGATGACTTCGCCGCTATCCAAATGACCAAGGTTGCATTCCTCTTGAAGATTGGAGACTCTCTTGAATCATCCGGTGCCGCCTCGTCTTGCCGTGTAGGCCTCGAAAACGAATCGAGCAAGGTGATCAACAATGCGTATTTGGAAATTTCCCATTCCTCTGGCGTGTTGTTCCGGTTGAGGATCCACCACGAACGTGAACAAACCCTACTCGAGCGCAATCTCAAGGACCGAAATCTAAGCCCCCGGGAACGAGAAGAGGCCGCGTATGCTCTCTTCGCCTACAAGAAGACATTTGTTCAAACCCCGCGCTTGACACAAGCACTCCGAAGCCTGTGCACACGCTTCCCCTTGTTGTCGCCCACCATTCGTCTTACCAAACAATGGTTTAATTCCCACCTGTTTACTGCTCAGATCAGCGACGAGTTGATTGAGTTGCTGGTAATTCGCACCTTCACCCAACCTAACCCCTGGGAATGTCCTTCATCTGTCATGACCGGATTCCTGAGAACCCTCCATTCCCTCTCTCGGTGGGACTGGCAGCAGGAGCCGTTCGTTGTTGACCTAGGAGGTGATCTGACCCCACAAGTGACGGAAAATATCCGTACTCGCTTCACAGCCTGGCGCAGCATCGACCCTGCGATGAACAGTCTGGCCCTTTTCGTCGCCTCTGACCTCGATACTGAAGGAGTGACCTGGACCCAATATGAGATGCCCTCCAAGGTTGTGGCTGCCCGGATGTCCAGCCTGACCAAAGCAGCAGTAAGCCTACTACGAAGCAAGACCCACGACATGGATGTTTCCGAGCTATTTGATACCTCGCTTGCTCCCTACGACTTTGTCATCCATCTTCGCCCAAAGCTGTTTAGCAGTTCCTCGGCACCCAAGTTCAAGAACTTGGCCGAGCCCCGTGCTGGGATGATGCAGACCATCAAGTCATTTGTCTGTGATGTTCAAGCCTGCTACGGCCAAAACATTTTGCTCTTCCACGGAGACGATCGTTGTGCGGTGATTGCTGGCCTTTGGAATCCGCAGACTCTGAAGTCGCGACCCTGGAACCTAAAGACGGCGTACTCGACTGCCCCAGGTGATACCGAGGCCCAGGTCGTAATCAACCAGACTGCTATTCTGAACGAGATTGCGCGGTTAGGCAATGGACTCATCGAAAACATTGAGATCCGTGCAGATGAATAGATGGTGTCTTGGATTCAAACTGGTGTACATTAATTACCCTACAAAATAGCTCGAGCATATATATATATATATAGTAGCTTCTAACGAATTCTGTTTTTCTTCAACCCAGAACGACGAGAGATATTCTGATCAAACCATTGACCCTTAATTAGTATAATATGAGGATCTTCTGGCACCCTGATCCTCTTAGTCCTGAACATCTCACTTGCATCTTGATAGTGATGCCTAAGGTGTCAATCACTGACAACATGTGCAACCATCAGCTTGAGTTTGATCTTCTCTCACCAACTCAACAATGGCCAGCATAACTCGGGGCCAGCGAGCCCTACACGCTCAATTCCAGCCTTGGAAACACTCTCGTTTCCACTCCCACCTCCGATCCCAATTACTGCCCATCTGCACACGATCTCAACTCTTCTCAACCTCCGCCCCGAGCCAGCAATCCCGCCGGCCCTCCCCATCACCCCCTATAGCAACCACCGTCTCAGTACCCTCCAAATCCGAAATAAATGCCCCAATCAGCACACACCCTGCTCCCCTCACAACCCCCTCTCCTCTACCTTCCTCTGCAGGCGCAGCAGACAAATTAAAACGCTATGTCGAATTCGGCCGCGCATACGTGACCTTCTACAAAACGGGCCTGAAAAATGTCTACCGGAACTATCGCGCCTCACTCCCTCTACGGAGAAAACTAGGCCTACCCGCCTACATTCCTATATCCCCACCGCGGACAAGCACACGCAACAAGAACCGCAGCGCGCCATCAATAACACAAGAATCCAAGCTCGGCCGCGCGCAGTTCCAGCTCGTCCGTCGTTCCGCCCGCGATGTCCGCCGCATGATCCCCTTCACGTTGATCCTGATCGTCTGCGGCGAGTTCACACCCCTGATTGTCCCGATCTTCGGCTCTGCCATTACGCCCGCGACGTGCCGTGTGCCCTCGCAGGTGGAGAAGGAGCGCGTTGCTGCTACGGCGCGCAAACTCGCGGCGTTGGATGTGTTTGTTGCTGGAGATAAGGATCGGTCTGTGCATTTGCTCAAGGCGGGCGGTGCGGAGCAGTTGGCTCTGCTTGCTGGGCGTTTTGCTGATCCTGCCTGGGTCGCTGATGCGGGCTCCGCTGATGTGCTGCGTGCCAGTGCGGTTTTTGGTCTAATTAAGCGTCATGCCAAGACCGCAGGCGAATCCCTTGCTGGTTTGATCTACCGGCCTCGGCTGGCGCGGTATGTCGAGTACCTGGCTATTGATGATGGGATGATTCGTGTTGGTGGAGGGGTTAAGGCTATGAATGCTACTGAGGTGCGAATCGCAGTTGAGGAACGAGGTGGTGTAGATGTCTCTTCTGGCACTCAAGACCGAAAGCGGGTTGAGGAATTGGAGAGGCGCTGGTTGGAGCAGTGGCTGGCTGTTCGTGGAAACGGCTCCAAGTCCAAGAAGCTATAGGTTTTTGAAACCAGATTGGAGGCCCCTGCTTGCACAGTAGATGTTTCATAGGGATCCTTTGTATTATATTATATCCAACATTTCGACTCATAAAAGAGGCTTGTTCTTGTTGAGCTTTGGGTGTCATTGCTAGCCATAGTACTAGCCGTAGACCCTGCAGTCTTAGCCAACATTTTTGTTCTGCATTCAATTTCCAAGACATGTGAGAACGAAAAGTCCAAAAATCCAAGCGCTCAAAAGTAGCATGTGTCTATTTCGACAGTCAAACGGAGGGGTATCAAGAAACCAACCTTCCAAGCGGAGAAGGAAATCAATTTATGTGAAAAAAAAGAAAGAAAGAAAGAAAGAAACAGTTAATATACTTACCATCAGTCCACTGTAATAGACAGAGAAGCCGCGGCCTGCGCCTGCGCCTGGCCACGGATTTGCTTCGCCCACCGCAGACCACAGCTATTGCAAAGGTCCCGGTTTCCACTCGGGCCACGTCGCCACTCGGGGGTGTTCTTTGTGTTGCACATGGCACAAAATTTCTCGACCGCCATAGCACTCTGCTTGCGCTTGCGCTTCCTGCGGCGAGCCAACAGGCGTTGCAATTCATCGGCCAGAGTGCGGTTCTGTTTCTCCAGCTCACGCAGCTCAATCTGCCAGCTTGATCCGCGGGTGGGGTTGAGCTCTGTAAAGAAGGTTGCCGGATCGGTAGAGGGTGAAACCCTGCGGTTGCCGGTGGGCAGACCGTTGAGGCCGATGAGGTTTGATATATCGGGCACGCGTTGACCCAGGGCACCGTACTGTTGGGGCGGAACGGGATCATTGATGGTAACCGTCGCGTTGCGTGCAGTGCCGGTAAGGGTAGCGAGACTACTGTCTTCGGCGGCTGAGACAGCGGTGGCGGATGGAGGGAAGGATCGAACAAATCGTATCTGGGCGACGAGGAAGGTGGGTTTGATTCCCTCCCGTGCGTCGCCGGTGTATAATGTAGTATGCCCTGAAATGGCATGGCCTTTCTTATGCCGCATTTGGTGTTTAAATGAGGGTGGTTCATCTGTTTCTTTGCCGCTGCCTGTAACGGTGGCCATGCCTGCTCCTTGTCCACCACAGGCTGCCTCCAGGGCTTGTGTGATTGTGGCGGTGCCGCCAGTCTCGGGCTTCATGATCTCTTGTAGGCCTTTACCAATTAGTTCGTCAGGCGAGCAGCCGAGCACCGGCTTCACCTTGGTCGTAACAAATAGAATGACACCAGACAAAGAAATCTTGGCCCAGACGTCATTCTCAGCCAGCGCGGCGGATGAGCCCAAACGAGCAATCTGATCCAAGGTGTAGACGGGTCGTGGGCGGCCAGTCATGACCAGATGTCTCCGGCCTTGGTTCGGGTCGATGTGCCATGCGCCGTGACTCTCAAACCACATATATCCTCTGTGCTTTTGCCGGATACGATACACAACACTCACTGGGGCGGTTGTCGTGCTCGCCCGCAAGTCACGGATTACAGGGCCAATATCACTGGGATGACAGATGGTGGATAGGGTCTTGCCGATCAGCTCGACCGGATTGTACTCTAGAACCTTGTGGCAAGAAGGCGAGAGATACAAGAATTCACCGTTGAATGATAGCACATGGATCACATCATCGGTATTCTCAACCAGAATACGATCCAGGTAGTGCCGGTTGACATCATTGCCGGCTGAACTCATGGCGTTGAGAATGGTAGTCACTTCGTCATGGCCATATCGCAATCCGAGGTCTGGTCGTGAGGAGTAGATATCTGGTGGAGGGACTATATACTGTGGCAGCTGATCGCGCCGATAGTTAATGCTGTAATTACCATCTATACAACGTTAGTCAGGGCGCTCGCCACGAAGAATGCAGCAAAGCATACCAGGATTTCTTCCCCTCACGGCCTCGGGTTTTTCAACCAGATCGACCTGGAAGCCGACGTAGTACCGATAAACACCGGAGTCCCACTGGATGGGAATCATCGTGATGAGATTCATGAAGGGTTGTCCACCCTTGCGGTAGTTAATTATACTAGCCTGGATCTCACTGCGATCATCGATAGTTGATCGCAGCCGATGGACAGTTTGTCCATCGACAAAGGTCCTCTTAGAGCCAGCCTGGATTTTACCGTCGGGAGCTTGAAGGAATCGACAATTCCGGCCAACAATTTCATCTTTAGTATAGCCGGTCAATCGTTCAAAGGCCTCCGACACATAAACGATTGGATGATCCTCGATCAAAATATCACACATTACAAAGGCACATGAGAGATCGACTGCGCCAATGTTAATTTTAGGGTTGGGTCGCATAGCCACACGACCCTGAACAAGGTTAGTATATATTGTCAGATACTCTTCCATAGGAAAATAAAAAGACATACCAACGCGCCCAGCACGTCAAAGCCAGTTGTCGAATAGATGCCGGTATGTTCAGTCTTGCCGATCTCGGGTTTTTCCAATCCCGGTGAGAAATCTTTTGATTGCGCGTTCCCGCGTCAGTCATACCGTGGGCCAGAGTCCAACAGGGAGTACTAGACACAGACACAACTTACCTTTGGTAGCGACGGGTTTCTTTGGCTGGATAGCCACCGGTTGCGATGCACGGTACGGCTGGCCAGCAGGCAGACGGCGCTCCAGAGGTTGTCGCTGAGCCCGCTGCACCTGCACCTGCGCCTGCGCATGTGACCAGTCGCTCGTGCGACCTGAAAAGTCGGAATTCTCGAAATTGGCCGTCGAGTCGGTGGTTGTATCGTATATTTCATTGCAGATTGGAGGAGCGAGCTGGGGATAATGGGGTGTCATCATGGAGGGTGGGAAGAGTGGATATGTAGATTGAAACTGTGAATGATCTACCTGCGGAGGCATTCCCATGGTGGTGGCTGAGTAGGTGTTGGGGATATTGTAGGTATAGGCATTTGTGGCGTTCATATTCATCGGCATTGAGATACCAGAGGTGGAAAGCCCGTCGTATGTGGGCATCACATTAGACCTGGGTTCTTCCAGATCCGAAGGCTGTGATCGCGCGAAGTTCTGCAGAGGCAGATCCGCATTCTGGGGTAGCATAGCACTGAAGGCATAATTACCCTGGCTGGGAAAGCTTGTATATAGAGGGTTTTGAGGGTTTGAGCCCTGTTCATCGTCATATTCCAAATCGAAGCTGTTCATGTTGGTCATGATTGAAATATCTGAGGCCCAGGCCGAGTTCCATCGCCCCGCAGGATGGCAACCTGGGCAGAAGTGGAAAGTGGAAGTTCGCGTTGAAATATCGGATTTGTGTGGGTGTTTATAAGGCGTGAATGTGTTGGTATTTGTAGAAGAAAGAGAAGAGGGGGAGAGAGAGGGAGAGAGGGAGAGGGAGATGGGGAGAGAGAGAGAGATAGTTGATGTCTCCAAAGTACAAATGTATGTGGGGAAGCACTCGCCAATAGATGTCTTATACGCTTGGTGTCTATTTTATATTTATATTCTATGCATACATACATATAAAGAAATATATTATTCTTTCTCTCTTTATTCTATTTTATTCTATATATTATGAATTATAGAAATTGTGCCTAGTGTTCTTGTATGGCCATGTTGTCAGGCCAAAGATCCCCCATGAGATGTATCACAATGACAATTATAGAGAAAGAGAGAGGAATCAATAATGGCGTTATGAGGTACTTGAAGAAGAGATAGAGATATCAAACTAACGAGGAGTACAACATATACATAGTAAGCTATACTTAAATAGTATACTCCGTACCTATATTAAACCCCTATTATAATTAATAACCCCTGTCAAACATACTTTCCGGACCAATCCCCCATTTCCACCCCCCTCCCTCTTCACTCTCTCTCCAATGTCCATTGGCCATGGACAAGATCTCAATCACCATCTGCGGAGATGGTGGATGTGGTATGTTGTTTCTTTTGTCTCCTGGTAATATCCTGACTCCGTGATTCGGTGCCACGTTTCCGGGTTTCTACGCGATCGAGATCTGATCAGATCGGGATGCAGGCAAATCCTCCATCACCATGCGGCTGGTCCGTAGTCAATGGGTTCACGAGTGAGTATTTCTCCCCCGAATTGATCTAGGAAATTCGCTAATATGTTATTTCTAGATATGATCCAACTATCGGTATTACGCCCATCCGATCGATGCCATTCCCATTCTAATCGGGCCCAGAGGATTCCTATTCCGTCACCCGCAACGTCGATGGCCGCCCCTACGTCCTTTCCATCACCGATACCGCAGGCCAGGAGGAGTACCGTGGGCTATGGTCCGCCACGACATTGAATTCGGATGCCTTCCTCCTGGTTTACGATATCACCAACCCCTCGAGTCTTGAAACGCTGGATCATTTCATGGACATGATCAATATGGAGGCGGAGCAACGCGTCGAGGACAACGAGCGACTGCGTCAGGAGCTGGGAAAAAAATCCGGTGTAAGGGATGTCGGCCAGGTTGGCCTGCCACCGCCAGTGAAAATCATCGCGGGCAACAAATGCGATCTCAAGGATAATCGGGTGGTGACATCCCGTGATGGACTCGAGTATGCACGCAAGCACGGCTGCGGGTTTATGGAGACCAGCGCTCGCGAGACGGTCAACATTGAGGAGACCTTTGCCCGTATGACATATCCGCAAGGAAGAGGGAGAGAGACGGGGGAGTAGAGCTAATGACTGGATAGATTTAGTCCGTCGCGTTGTCGAAGCCCGTCGACTTCATGGTCAACACGGTGCGCTTCCTCAGTGCGCCGAGCCCTCGCACAATCCCTTACCAACAACCACCGAAGACGCAATTGCAGGCGAGACCCGATCTCGTCGAAGTCGAGCATGGGAGTTTATAAAACGCCGGAAGACAACGGAACCAAACGGCAAACAGGGTCAGGAACAAAGTGAAATCCAGAGAACCGAAAAACAGAAGGTCCCTCGTGAAAAATGCTATCGGGGTTGCTGTGTCTGTCAACTCTGGTGCTTTCACTGCTCTTGTTGATGGATAATGAGGCTGTATATTATAAATAAACATGTAGATTATACTATACCCTGTCATATACATATATGTATATATATATATATATATATATATTTTTTTTTTTTCTGGTGGGAGAAATGTCTGTGAGGTTGACTTGGGAACATCTGTAGAGAAACATGGAGCAAGCCCACCTCTGTGAATAGGGTGAATAGGGTGAATGGACTCGGAATGTGTGCCCGCCAAATACGAGAGATGATGCCTGATAGAGTTCCCACGGGTTGAGAGAATTAAATTTGAGTTGGGTTAAATTTAACGGGATCAGATAGGATTTGACAGGATTTGGTAGGATTTGATAGGACCCGGTTGGATCTGATTGGATCTGATTGGATTCGATTGCATTTTGACTGGATTTAGCCCTGGTCGTCACATATTTCCAAATGCAGTAAGTATTCAGCTAAGCTTTTGAACTGCACGGAATATCAGCCGAGAGAAATGGGGGTTTAGGAGGAAAATAGGGAAATGTAGGGAAATGTAGGAAAATGTAGGGAAATATAGGAAACATCAAGAAACCGGATATGTTCTAGAAAAAAAATAAAAATTGGTCTAGCCCTTTGATAATACAGTCACGATGTAGTATATCCTCAAAAGGGACATAGTTCCTGATTAGGCCCAAAATGGTCACGTCATGGACTTTTTTTTGTTCCCTGGCGATTGGTAATAGCCCTGAAGGTCAAGGGTGATGAATCATTTGAAATGACCGGATTATTTATTTAATTGTAATCCCCGTTCAGTAGATTGTAAACTATCTTAACGGAGTAGAGAAGATATCTACTCCGTAGATACCTTGTACTGTAGCGACCTGGACAGCCTCGGAATCCATAATACCATAAACATAATATAATGAAGAGTCTCGGGTGCAACATGCAATTCGGCATGGCCTTGCCGATTTCCTTTTTCTTTTTTTTTTTTTTACCTATTATTTTATACTTGTACATAGGGTTATGCCGCCAAGAATATGAATTCATATTTTATGAATTGTTTTATTTGGTATCTATTTGATGAAACCATATTATATGCTATATGCTATACAATAAGAACAATAATCAACTAGTTTGTATATCCTATATATATCCTAGGTATTCCGTACTCCGTATATATCCTATATCCTATATTTAATAAGCATCAATAATATGTGTGGCTGGAATTGTAGTCCACTCGGATATACGTCAGTTCCAAGTCTCCGAGTTCCGTCAGCAAATGCCGAGTCATCCTTGTATTTTTCACAGTATTGATTTGTATGGTATTTTATGATCTTCGATCCGATCCCTTTATGCTGAGAGACTTTTTTTTCCCTCTACACTAAAGTACTTCTCCGTATGGAGACCAATGACTCTAATAAAATAATAAAATATCATTAAATATCATAAAACATAATATAATAAATAATAAATAATAAATAAATCCCAAACTAGAACAGTTCCCCCCTCTTTTTTTTTATTCCTATATATGCACATCTACTCCCATGGTGACCTGGAAGTGTTACTTTTCAACTCGATTACTTCATACTACTTTCAACCTCTGACCTATACACTACAATACTCTCAATTCTTTTCTGATTCTTTGGTCCCAAGGATTACCTACCTGCATCCGTCTACTTTAACTGAACTCAATTTCGTTGAATGATTTAACATCATTATATCATTGACCCCAATTTGACGTCGATCCTACTCGAAGCTTGATAGTATAGCTAAGGGTCAACTTCCCTTACTATACCTCTCTGCCTCTACCTCCTACCTCTCCCTCTCTCTCTATATATCAACCCTTTCGGCTTCATAAATCATGGCAGCTCGCCAATCAACACCAACCTCGGAGCACTCGCATTCCGACAGCAATGTCCGTAAAAGAGTATGCAAAGCATGCGATCGGTGTCGTTTGAAGAAATCCAAGGTATGTAGAACATAAATAGACGAGCAATCGTCCCAACATACACTGACCCGGACAGTGTGACGGATCCAGCCCTTGTTCCCGTTGTCGGGCAGATAATGCTATCTGTGTCTTTGGAGAGCGCAAGAAGGCGCATGACAAAGTGTACCCGAAGGGGTAAGCTACAGAGCTATATCTACAACCCTAAAGAATCCCCCACTGACCAGCTTATCTCCCCCTCCATAGATACGTTGAGATGCTTGAACAGCAACAATCTTGGCTCGTCAATGGTCTCCAGGAACTCTATCGACGCAACATCGAAGGCGAAGGGTGGCCCGGCGAGCACTTGAAACTTGAACCCAACGGTCACCCACTTACTCACGACCTACTGATGCGCCTCGGCGCCCTCGACGGTTCCAAGGGCGAGCGCTTTGAAGAAAACCCCGAAGCCCTACAACAGGATCTATGGCACACCAATGCCGGCATGCAACGCCAGGAATCGTCCGACGGTGGCTCCGATAGTCCTCAGTCACCCGTGCCTCGCTCGCGCTTCTCATCCGACGCTTTCTCCCAGCAACACATGCCGCCCACACCACCCACATATAGTCCCTCGACACATGCGCCGATCAAGACCGAGCAGCCTCATCAACCGCAGATGCCCAGCACCCCGCAATTCGCCCAACCCATGTCCATGCAAGGAGTGGTCAACCCATTGGCTTTGCAGGGTCCGCAACAATGGCCCAGTAACGGGTTCAATCCTTTCGACGAGATGGATTTGATGTCCACGGCCGATTACTCCAATATGCCCTTTGACGATCAGCAGTTATCATCGCCTATGTTCAATCGCCAGGTACCCATGAACTGCTTGTCACAAGGGTCATATCTGGATTCCAAGAATGACTATGAGGATTTCAACCAGTTCCTCAATCCAAATCCTACGGAGATTACCTCGATCTGAGCCTTGCTCCCCCCTTCTTTTTCCTTTCTTTGAAAGGTTACTTTCTTTTGGACCCTTTTGGACCCTTTTTTTTAACGCCGTATGACGTGATGCATGTATACTATACATGTTCTGATTTTCTCTCTCTTCTCTTCTGGGGCTATTTTCCCCCAAGGTCTCTTTGACTGGATTCAGGCGCAATCGGGATCCTAATCACCTCTGTACAGTGCACCGGCTTTTCGGGATTTGGAGTTTCGGTCATTCTATTCCTTTTTTTTGTGTGATTTTCTCTGGAGTTTTAAAACGGGGTTTCCAGGCGGCGTCTATTCTGGTTTATTTTTTTTTTTATCTTTCTA